TCCTCTCTGGGTTCTGCTCTGGGTACTCTGGCTTCCTCCCACGGTCCAAAGACATCCTCTGGGGATCAGGTAGATTGGTGACTCTAAATTGCCCGTAGGTGTGTGAATGTGAGTGTGAATGATTGTGTGTCTCTGTGTAGCCCTGCGATTGGCTGGCAACCAGTGCAGGGTGTACCCTGTCTCTCGCCCGAAGTTGGCTGGGATAGACTTTATTTAGAATAAACAGGAAATTAAAGCTTTTTAATGCTGTTTTTTTAAATCTGATTCATCGATTAATCGAAGAAATAATCGTCCGATTAATCAATTATCAAAATAATTGTTAGTTGCAGCCCTAGTTTATTTGTTTCTTAATAAACTCTGGATGTTTCATGTGGGGCTTTTTGCTTCAATTGGATTTGGGATTTTGCCCTGATCCTCTTTTTCTGCTTCTTCTTAATCTCTGCTGCTGAAAGCTCTTTCTACCAATCCAGAATTGAATCTTCATTTTCTAACCCCCAAAAAACTTTTTTCTATCGTCTACAACCTCCTCGAACCCCCTAGTCCTCCTCCCCCCTCCTTCCGGGAGACTACTTTACCAAGAAAATAGCTGACATATGCTCCTCTTTCTCAAACCCACCTCCTACTACTTATGATGTGAAGCACTTAGAGTCTGCCTTGTGTATGAAAAGCGCTATACAAATAAAATTGCCTTGCCTTGCCTTGCCTTACTTGCGTCCCACTGACTTCACCTCTATCACCCTCACTTTCTTACCCTAGTAACCTCTGCCCGTCTGACCATCTGCCCTCTTGACCCCTTCCCATCACATCTTCTACAATCTATTGCTCCTGACTAACCCATTAACCTGTCATCAACATTGCTCAGTTACCTGGCTATTTTCCCAATTCTCTGAAGGAGGCAAGAATAAACCCACTCCTGAAGAAACCTACCTCAACCCATCTGAAAAAAATAACTACAGAGCGGTCTCTCTTTCGTCCAAAACTCTTTCGCACGATCTTTAACCAACTCTCCTCCTATCTCCACCGTAACAACCTCCTTGACCCCCACCAGTCAGGCTTCAAGGCCATTCCACAGAGACTGCTCTCCTTGCTGTCTCAGAGCAACTCCACACTGTTAGAGCCGCCTCTCTCTCCTCTGTCCTCATCCTTCTGGACCTCTCTGCTGCCTTTGACACAGTCAACCACCAGATCCTTATTTCCTCCCTTCAGGAACCTGGTGTCTCGGGCTCTGCTCTCTTCCTTCTCTCGTCCTACCTCAACGGCCACACCTAGCGGGTAACCTGGCGAGGATCTGTGTCGGAAGCTTGTCCTCTTACTACTGGAGTTCCGTCCTGGGTCCCTTCCTCTTCTCGCTCTCCTTCCCTCACTCGGACACCCAGGTGGCGGCACGGATCTCTGCCTCTCTGACTGACATCTCTCAGTGGATGTCTGCTAATCATCTGAAAATAAACCGCAACGAGACTGAACCACTTCTCTTTGCGGGAAAAGATTCTCCGACCCAGGACTTGACGGTCAACTTTGGCAACTCCGTGCTAATGCCAAAGCCCGGATAAACCATATGGGCAACTGTGTCCGTGAGCTGTGACCCTCTCCTCAATGAGTCAATCGGACTGACCAATGAGGAATGACGTGGGACACCAGTCAACGTGCACTGAGCAGGTCACGTGATGTCAAGTGCCTGTAGCAACTCAAAAAATGCGAACATGGAGAAGCTAAGTGGGAGCGCTGAGAGCCGCTCGTCGAGTCTGCGAGTTGCCCCTGTGCCTCAACGCCTCTACTACTCCCTGGGGATCCTGCACTATGGGGACCGGTTACGGAGCAGCTCTGGGATGAGGCGATATATCAGGGGCATGCAGCTGTCCTGAACCGGGCTGCGAAGTGTCCGGCATCGGTAAGGGAGTCCGGACTTAGGAGTCAGACATGCTCCTTCACCAACGACGTGCTTAATTGCCGTCTCCCAAACAATCAAATGGTGCCAAGGGAATGGCTTCTTTACTCGCCATCAACTGAATCAGTTATTGCTATGCCTGCAAACTCCGAAAAGCATGCATTTATCAGCGGATTCTGTGATTGAAAACATCCAGAGAGGATTAGTGATCATGAAAAGAGTGCAGAACACAGGCAAAACATGCTTTCTTTATTGCACAGGTCTAAATACGCATGCAGAGTTGACACTTTTCTTGCCCGACAGTGAGAGGCAGAACAGCAGTACTGGAAAGAAGTCCTTAGACTATTAAATTTTTGGGAGCGAGAGGACTGCCAATTCGAGACGATAACGAACTGCTGGGCTCCGCCCACAATGGGAACTATTTGGGACTGCTTGAACTGATTGCGGAGTTTGACCCCTTTTTTAAAGGAGCACCTTGAGAAGCATGGCAACAAGGGAAGAGTTAAGCCATCTTACATGTCCTCAACTGTGTGTGAAGAATTTATTTCATTAATGGGTGACAAAACTAAGCAAGTAATAGAGGAAATCAGACACGCTAAATATTTCTCTGTAATCATTGATTCAACGCCAGATTTAGCACACGTAGATCAGCTCACATTTGTTTTTCGTTTTGTCAGTGCAGATGGCAGAGTAGTGGAAAGTTTCATTGGGTTTGAGCCCTTTCATAGCCACACAGGTGCAAGCCTAGCTGAATCTGTGATTGAAATGGTGCGAGGCTTGGGGTTAGACTTGTCAAACTGTCGTGGTCAAAGTTTTGATAATGCTAGAAATACGTCTGGCAAATACAGCGGGCTCCAGGCGCACTTGAAAAAACGAAACCCACTAATTCAATATACACCGTGTGCTGCCCATTCGCTGAACCTCATGGGTGTTAACTGCGTTGATAATTGCTGTGTGGAGGTTAACTCCTTTTTTGAACTGTACAGTCCCTGTATACATTTTGCAGCGCATCAACACATCGCTGGGATACAGTTTTCCATAACAACGAACATTACATTAGATACACTCTAAAATCCCTCAGCAGCACTCGATGGGGTTGCAGAGCAGACTCCACAAAAGCTCTCAATGAAAATTACAGGGCAATCAGAGATATATTAGCCAAAATAGCTTCGTACTGTGATGAGAAAACACAAACCAAACTCAAAGCTGCTGCATTGGTCACAAAACTTGATAAACTTGATACCGTAATAATGACTATATTGTGGGACCAGGTACTGCATGGATTTAAGGCAACAAGTGCCGAACTCCAAAGAAGCGATATAGATTTAGCTACTGCTCTTGGCCTTTTGCGGTCACTGCATTCATATGTTGGCACTCTACGAGAACAGTTTGCAGAGCTCGAAGAATCCGCACGCACTGTTAGTGCCACACAAAACTAACAGTTTGACACTCGACGTGTGAGAAAAAGAAAGAAATTTGCAGACGAGTCTGGTGATGACAGAGAAGTAGCTTTTACTGATAGTAGTCAGAGATTTAAGGTTGAAACATATTATGTCATCATTGAAAGACTTCGACTCTTTTGCCTATCTAAGCGCATCGAAGCCTACACAGATGTGTGTGACCTCTTTTTATTTTATTTGAGAGGGACTGCAATGGTTGTTATGTGCGTGAAAGAGCTGCTAAGCTGTGCACCACTTATCCGACAGATCTGGATAGTTCCTTCTCAGACGAACTTATTCAGGTCAAGCACTTTGTGCAGAATGAGACTTCACCTGTACAGCTTCTGCAAACTCTTGAGAGACATGGACTTAAGACAACACTTCCAAATATTTATGTTGCACTAAAAATGTTTTTAACCTTGCCTGTGTCTAACTGTTAGGGTGAGAGGTCGTTTTCTGTTTTGAAACGAGTTTAAAATGAGCTGATGACCACAATGTCACAGACACGGCGCTCTGCACTTTCTCTCTTGGCCATTGAACATGAACTTCATTACTGCCCTTGATTTTGAAGATATTGTACACCAGTTTGCACATTCATAGTCCAGAAAAACGCCACTCTAAAATCCATCCATCCATCCATCCATTGTCAAACCGCTTATCCTGCACCCCGTCGCGGGGGGGCTGGAGTCCATCCCAGCCAACTTCGGGCGATAGACAGGGTACACCCTGGATTGGTCGCCAGCCAATCGCAGGGCTACACAGAGACATACAACCATTCACACATCTACGGGCAATTTAAAGTCCCCAATCAACCTGATCCCCAGAGCATGTCTTTGGACTGTGGGAGGAAGCCGGAGAACCCACGCAGACACGGGGAGAACATGCAGACTCCACACAGAAAGGCCACTAGGTGGAATCGAACCCAGGACCTTCTTGCTGTGAGGCAACGCCACCGCGCCGCCCCCACTCTAAAATGTGTTTTCCAAATTTCTAATTTGCCAGATTATACTGATGAGTTTTGTTTTTATAAAATCATGTGTGAGTGAGTGGCCTTGAGGTGCATTTGTTTTTCTATGAGCATTTGCACATCTGTACATCAAATGCACTTGATGACAGTTAGTTTTTGAAGTATTGAGTATATTTAGTTCATATTACTGTAAATTATTCTGTATTTTGCATCCTGGGGTTGTGACCATGGGGCCCCTGAATATGTTTGCCCAGGGTACAGCGAAGTGCTAATCTGGTCCTGCTAACGCCCACTTTGACTGCTAGGAACCTCGGCATCACATTCGACAGCCAACTTTCCCTGACTCCCAACATCACTGCGACAACGTGATCCTGTACACTGTAACAAATGGCTGTAAATTTACGGTGCATTTCTAACGGTATCTCACAGTATGTCTTAATAACTGTATCATACAGTTAAATAACCATCCCTTGCTTGTAAATTAACGGCCAATGTCATGAATAAACAGTTAAACCTGTCAATTTCCAATAATAGCAGACTACCGTAATTCAACTGCATGTTACATATATTTTATGAAGTGGCGGAAATACAAATACAAGTGCAGTGAATCACAATCAATCTACATATGTTGTAGGTTAATGTATGGAAGCCCATTTCAGCCACTGAAAAACAGGTCCTGTAAGTCATCATAATGAGATGGTATCTCATGAGATACGATGATGGCTTTGACTTACAGGACATTAGTATACATGCAGCTGTCACTTTTATCCAAAATGCCCATGTTTTGACATAATTTATGTGGAGTAATTGGGGGTTAGGTGTCTTGCTCAGTGACACTTCAACTTGGCACAGGTAGCAGCCAAGATTTGAACCGCCGACCTTGCTGCACAGCACACTCCCCCTATCCCAATGCGCCGCCTTTGCTATCATTTCAGTAGCCGAATGTGCTATAATGTTTGTATTATTCAAAGTGTTCATTGCCTAAAAGAGATTTGAGTGTTAATTGTGACCGACTGCTCCTGAACGTGACATCAGACACCTGTCAGTGCAGTTCAACATCGGAGGAGTTTCTCATTGCCTCGTCCCTCCAAGTAACGTGGTAAGTGTTATTTGCCTAGCATGATTAACATTCTCCTTCCTTACATCTTGTTGTCTTCCTCAATTTTGTAATATTGATATTTTACCAATGACAGTGTTTCTAAATATTTTATTTTGGTTTGTTTTACAGAGGCACTAGATTAAGGACGCCAGCCGTTTGCTGCGGTCAATTGAAAGTGTTCCATAGCGTATTGTTGGTTTACATTGTTTCTAATGATTTCATGATTCATTTTTTTATTATTGTATACATGCGGCATATTTTATGTTTTGTTCTTGGTTACAAATGTCTAATATTTTTGTCTTAAAGGCATCAAATAAACTCCAACCACTATGACCGAAATGAGTTTGGTTGTCTTTCTTTAATTTGTGGGGAATTAAATGCAAAAGTATACGGTTATAAGTAAACGGTAACATTCTGGTGTTATAACACAAAAACAGTAATCGTATGGTAACAAACTGTAATCTAATATACGACAACATACCGTAAAATATGGTAGGGCACTGTAAATAAAACAGTAAGTTACTAGCATCAACTGCCAGTAAATTGCAGTTAATTCACAGTAAAATTAGTTCATGGTAAAAGGTAAAAGTTTACAGTAACAAACAGTAATCAAATTCACGGTAACATAGTGTAAAGACCATTCACGGTATTATACCGTAAAATAACGGTAAATTCTTGGCGTCCTTGCTGCCTGTAAAATTCCGTTAATTTACGGTGAAATTTTTTAGCGCGTAGATACACCCTTCGTCTCCTTCTCACTCAGAAGGCAGCGCAGGTACTGATTCAGGATCTTCTCATCTCCCGCCTGGACTACTGCAACTCCCTCCTGCAGGTCTCCCTGCCACCGCCATTCAACCTTTGCAGCTCATCCAGAATGCAGCAGCTCGACTGGTCTATAAACATCCGAAATTCTCCCACACTACTCCACTCCTCCGCTCTCTTCACTGGCTATTGGTAGCTGCCCGCATCCAGTTCAAAACACTGGTGCTCACGTACCATGGTGTGAATGGATCGGGTCCAGCTTACATCCAGAACATGGTCAAACCCTACATCCCAACCCGCACTCTCCACTCTGCATCTGCAAAACTTCTTGTCCCTCCCTCACTGAGAGCAAAACACTCGACTAGGTCTCGACTCTTTAATGTCCTTGCTCCAAAATGGTGGAACGAGCTCTCTGAAGACACCAGGACCGCAGAGAGCCTTCACATCTTCCGCCACAAAATAAAGACACACCTCTTCAGACTCTTCCTCGACTAAAAGACTAACAAATTGTAGCACTTAAATTGTAGTTATAACGCCACTCATCTATAGCAAATTGTAAATTGGTTTATTTGAGAAAATTGCACTTTCTTGTTTTTTGCTCTTCCGAGTTTGTACCCCTATGGCTGAATGCACTTATTGTAAGACGCTTTAGATAAAAGCGTCAGCTAAATGACATGTAATGTAGAAAGAGAAAGATGTATGTCGGCTCCGGACTCTGAAACCCCTGATGTATGGGGTTGCTCATTATTTGTATATTGATGAAGTCCATCTTACATTACATTATTATATTATTGTGAATATTCTATTTACTAGAAACTGGTAACATTTCCTTCTAACTCAAAAAAGAGTTGAAATAAGTAGTTAGATCTAGTGAATAGAATGCATGATAATAAGTTGTTTCTTTTAAACTAACGTTGCTAAGTTGGATAAACATGTACTATAAAGTCATGTGAACTTACGGAGAGCAATCGATGGCTAATTTAAACAAAAAATGATTTGTACCAAATTGTAAATCCAATTTGACTACTCGCGAAAGTGTAAGGCAGCAATTGAACATTTGTTTTTAAGTTCAACCCCCATGATTTATCTTACCGTGTATTTAAGCCCCAGAGCTTTTGAAGTGCAGAAAAAAAACTCTGAAATAAGATTTGATTGCAGTTCCCACTCAAAATGTAATGCAATACCAGCCTTGTGTAACCATATCTTCACTTATTATAACTTTTTAGTAACTTAAGCTTATGTAGATATATGACTTGTTTTTGGTAATCTAATAAAATAGATCAATTTGCACCTGTTAACAGCCTACATTTCAACCGGATTCTACCAGCAGCCCCCCTTCATGTCTATGCCCCCCTCCCTGTTTGGAGATGCCTGATGTCCGTGTGGCTCACCCAGGGGGATGATCATCTGCTTCTTGTGCCAGCGGCCGATGATGCTGCCGTACACCAGCAGGTCGTTGAACAGGAAGAACCTTCTGGGCTGTGGCCCCTTGCGGGTCATCTTCACCAGCCGACCCTCTCCCAGCAGAAACCGACCCGGTTCGTACAGCGGTTTCCCCGACGGCCTGAACGAGTTCTCCACGGCGCGGATCCGCTCGCGGTTGTTCTGCGTAAACAAGAACCATTTCCCATCCGTATCCATTTGTGTTCAGATGACAAGTCAGCACGAGCCGTTCGTTAGTGCGTTGTTGTTGTTGTTGTTGTTGTTGTTGTTGATGTTGTTGCGCATAAAGTCCCGCTGCTGAGACGCTGTCCTGGGATCGTGCAGTCTGCGGCGCACGGGCGCTTCTTTTATGTGCTGGTGACGTGGGAGTCGCCCAAGGGAGTTGGAGCTTTAGACAAACCCATGTGAGCAGAGAAGGCGTCACCAATCTATTTCCCTCCCAGGAAAGTTATTTATGGAAATATCCACCTCAGGTTTTCAACCATCACCGACTTTTATTTAAAATTCACTTTAAATGAATTTCAGACAATAGTTGCATTATAAATATTTATATTATATTGATTAATAATAACCGTTTGGTGGACACAGCATACAGTATATCATTATATTGTTAAGCTGCAACCAAAACTGAAAAGTCAATAAAATGTCATAGGATAGAATCAGTATGTCATGAAACAGCGTGCTCTTGCACAGGTTTACACTATTTACTGTAAGAGAGTTGATCTTGGCTCTGCAAAGAGTGTGTCCTGACATGTGCACTAATGTGTTACGCATTGAATGGGACACTCTGAACCAGGTCAGTGGTGCCAATATCTAGTTGGACAGAAAACAAAAACTAACAAGGCCTTCTGGGACGCAGCCAAGAATGTGCAAGAGGCAAACGTGCAGTCAGTAGGTTGTGCTTAACCAGCAGCAGGTGGATGACATCAGAAGAATGTAGACCAACGGCAATTTACGGCCTACAAAAGAGCGCAGTACATGGTGTCATCTAGTTCACTCTGTCCTTTCTGTACAGCTTAAGTACCAAATCATAATGCAACTAAATACTGCCGTCAAACTGCGGACAATTTCTCCCTGCGCTTAAGAGTTGACAAGTTGTGGAGAGACTTTTATTTGAAGAATATTCATGTTTTTTTTCTATTAAAATGTTAATAAACAAATGCAAATAAAAGTATCACACTTCTGCATTTCATTTTTTTATCCCAACAACATGAAGCAGCCGTGCAAAGGCCTGAGATGTTATAATCTTAAAAGATCAACAAGTGTCATCTCAGAAACATGAAGAAACAACAACAACAATAAATACAACAGGAAGCTATTTATAAGGAAAATATTTATTTTGTGACCACCAAATGCTAAGAAGTTTCTCTACGGCCGGGTGACGGGCATACAAAGTCAGAAGACAACAAATAAGTACACATTTACGAAGCAAGAACTGCATAGCGTCCGTTTAAAGGAAGTATTGAATGAAATGTCAAAGGTCGTGAGTAAAAATAAAAATAAATAGAAACTTCATTCTATCTTGCACCTTTTTAGAATTGTTAATGCTCCATTAAATGGGCCTGTTATTTTTCTTGCTGTTTTTTTAAATTAAAAAGATATTAATTTGAATTGTTGCATTGTCATTGACTTGATGAAGGTAGGCAGCAATCATTCATATTTTTAAAAAGTGGAAAGAAGCATTTTGTTTTTTGTGATTTTTTACAAAGACAACAATGAAATCAATATCAATAGTTATGATGTCGTGTCACCTTTTTTGTAGGAAAGTCTTTGCACGGACAGATGACACTTGTGGAATACACATTTTATAGTACAGCGGTTGACAAGGTGGTATCAACTCACCTCCACACCGAGAACCTTCACCAGGTCCCGAGGGATCCCGACTCGAATGAGCGAGTCTGTTGAACAGGTCAAACAAAACCAGTTACACACTGGACCACAAAGCACCAGGGGTGGTTGGCTCTCTGCCATCAGATCATACTTTCTGCAGCAAATTGAAAAGCTCCTTAGGAAAAGCTATTGGTGTGTGAGGACCCTGGTGATGAAAAAACAGAATCAAAGAGGGAAACCTGTCATCCGATCCCGGTTGATTTCATCAGTCTGGAGAATCTCAGACTACGACTAAAGAACATCACCAAAGTTCGTTCCCAAGATTTGGGCAGGATCTTTATCTGTGTCCTCAGAGTTTGATATAACTTTAAACATTTGGAAGTTTAAATGTGAGGGATGGTTATCAAATTCTATTTAGATTAGTTGTTTTTAGGGCAGGGACTTCCCTTTGGCACCGGCAAATAGCAACACCAAGTATCCAACAACGTGTACACAGTCCAACTCTCAGCTATCGGTACATGTTGTTCAATCTTTAATTGTTTAGCCTCAAGGGAAAACATTTCAAGGTGTGTGTGTGTGTACATCTCAAGGTGTGTGTGTGTGTGTGTGTTGTGTGTTGACACACACACACACACACACACTAGACAGACCTGTCTGACGTGTATTACTGACTAATATTCTGTGCAGTCAGACTGAGAAAGTACAAACTGACACACTTACCGATGACACACTGACCGACGACCCAGAACAAATCTGACATTTCAGACAGGATGACGTCATTTGGGAGAACAATCGGCTTCCTCTGTACAGAAAGATGCAACGCTTCATTGGCTGCCGTCGTGACGTCACCCGTGGGTTTGTGGACTAACGCTTGTATTTTGAATGCAGGCTTTTTTCTTAAAGGAAAATGTTTCTGTAACAGTACGAACAGTCAGAAAGGAGGAGGGGTCTCTTAAGCGGATGCGGTTGTATATTAGTGAAAATACACGGGTTTGCATAGCACATTATTTTATTATCAAATGCACAACATTTGCAGACACATTTCCTCTCTTACTCATTGTAAAAGTATAAAGACGTTGTTCACATTTGTGGTCAACATTCAAGTAGATAGAAGCATTAAAACACATGACCAAAATCACAGATTCATCTAATGGAAATGAATCCCCAAATGTATCAAAAAATGAACGTAAGAACCGTATAAATATATATATTTTAACTTTATACATTATTTATGATAATGACCTTCCACTGTCCAAAGCATCCTGTCCATCCATTAACAAGGCCACACCAGGCTGTTCTTCTTCTCCCCCTTCTTATGCTCAGGGCTGCATGTGTGCGGTTGTAGGTTGACGTAGATGGACCAGTTCTCCATCTGGGAGTTCAACCACTTGGGGTCATCGTCCTCCACCTGCTCCTCGGCCTCCTCCTCCTCACTTGATCCATCCTCTCCATCTGAGTATCTCCTCTCTGTGTGGCGCTCGTTCCAGTGACACACCTGCTGGGCCTCCTGCGTCGTCCTGGTCGAGGAGCTTGAGTGGTACCCGGTGCAGAGTGCGGTTGTAGTGCAGTGTGGTTGTAAGTTGACGTAGATGGGCCAGTTCTCCACCTGGGAGTTCAACCACTTGGGGGGGTCACCGTCCTCCATCTGCTCCATGGCCTCCTCCTCACTTGATCCTGAGCTCCTCCTCTCTGTGTGGCGCTCGTTCCAGTGACACACCCGCTGGGCCTCCTCCGTCGTCCTGGTCAGGGAGTTTGTGTGACACCCGGTACAGATCCTCCAGCACTTAGTCGGGTGGATGTGTTGGATTACCGCTCGGGTCTTGGAGCACGCGGCGCAGACCAGGAAGCCACATTTCCGGCAGTGGTGTCGACGCTGGGTCACGGAGAACCTGTCGAAGCAGCGCATGCAGATTGCGGAGGCAGAGTCGGGGATACAGGTTTTGGCAAAGTGGGAGCTGGTCCGGCAGTCCCTGTTCTGCAGCAGAATGGACCGGCAGTCCTCGATTTGCTGGATCCAGGCCCGCTTCTCCTCCTGGGAGGCGGCTGCCACGTAGAAGGACTTGCGTGGCGTACGGATCAGCCACTGGTTCTTTATTGATAATCCGTTCTCTAGGTCCTCAAGTTGGCAGTCCTCTGAAAATAAAAAATAACAGTCCAATTGAAATGAATTTCAGAGGAAAGTCATATTTAGAAACCCTCTGCTGGTTTTGTCATTCAAGCCCTATGGTTTGGTTTACATTGTTTGACTTTTAGGTAACTCAAGCTTATTCAGATCAATGACTTGCTTTTGGTAATCCAATAGAATAGATAAAAAATTGCCAACTGCCTACACTGCAAAATAGTCTAAAAATGTAATGAACTAAATACTATGAGATTTAATAGAACCGAACGCGTGTTCTGGGGTTCATGGCTCCTCTGTGCTTCTCCTCTCTCTACTGGACCTGGTGTTTCTCCTCTCCCTGTGCTCTCTGCATCATTGCCTGTCCTCTCACTGCCTGAAAAAATATGTTGAATTTAAGAGTTAACCAGTTAAGCAGCCTGTCAATTACACTGACAACATAAGTTAAAGGAACACTCATGTACTACCTACGTCATCATAAATAGCCTATACAGCATGTTTTTTTTTTCATATTGAGAACTGACTTGTTTTCTAATCTACGCGTCACCAGGCGTTTTTCTTGTCCTTTTGCCGTGCACGTGAACGCTATTTATAGGTGCGTAAACGCTATTTCCAAAATTCAAGAGGTGCGTAAACGGCGTGTACGTGCGTTTACCCTCCACTACAGTCCTGGGTGGAAGTGAGCGCAGCAGCCGAAAGTGACAGGAGAGATGGAGATGTCTTACGAGTGTCTTACAAGTATCCTACTAGTGTTTCACCAGTTTTGTTGTTCAATTACATTTAGGTGTTGTAAGTAAACGTAAGGGCGGCACGGTGGTGTGGTGGTTAGCACTGTCACCTCTCAGCAAGAAGGTCCTGGGCTCAACTCTGCCCAGTGGCCTTTCTGTGTGGAGTCTGCATGTTCTCCCTGTGTCTGCGTGGGTTCCTCTCTGGGTTCTGCTCTGGGTACTCTGGCTTCCTCCCACGGTCCAAAGACATCCTCTGGGGATCAGGTAGATTGGTGACTCTAAATTGCCCGTAGGTGTGTGAATGTGAGTGTGAATGATTGTGTGTCTCTGTGTAGCCCTGCGATTGGCTGGCAACCAGTGCAGGGTGTACCCTGTCTCTCGCCCGAAGTTGGCTGGGATAGACTTTATTTAGAATAAACAGGAAATTAAAGCTTTTTAATGCTGTTTTTTTAAATCTGATTCATCGATTAATCGAAGAAATAATCGTCCGATTAATCAATTATCAAAATAATTGTTAGTTGCAGCCCTAGTTTATTTGTTTCTTAATAAACTCTGGATGTTTCATGTGGGGCTTTTTGCTTCAATTGGATTTGGGATTTTGCCCTGATCCTCTTTTTCTGCTTCTTCTTAATCTCTGCTGCTGAAAGCTCTTTCTACCAATCCAGAATTGAATCTTCATTTTCTAACCCCCAAAAAACTTTTTTCTATCGTCTACAACCTCCTCGAACCCCCTAGTCCTCCTCCCCCCTCCTTCCGGGAGACTACTTTACCAAGAAAATAGCTGACATATGCTCCTCTTTCTCAAACCCACCTCCTACTACTTATGATGTGAAGCACTTAGAGTCTGCCTTGTGTATGAAAAGCGCTATACAAATAAAATTGCCTTGCCTTGCCTTGCCTTACTTGCGTCCCACTGACTTCACCTCTATCACCCTCACTTTCTTACCCTAGTAACCTCTGCCCGTCTGACCACCTGCCCTCTTGACCCCATCCTATCACATCTTCTACAATCTATTGCTCCTGACCTTCTTCCTTTCCTCACCTGTCACATCAACATTGCTCAGTTATCTGGCTGTTTTCCCAATTCTCTGAAGGAGGCAAGAATAAACCCACTCCTGAAGAAACCTACCCTCAACCCTTCTGAAAAAAATAACTACAGAGCGGTCTCTCTTTTGTCCAAAACTCTTGAACGCACGATCTTTAACCAACTCTCCTCCTATCTCCACCGTAACAACCTCCTTGACCCCCACCAGTCAGGCTTCAAGGCCATTCCACAGAGACTGCTCTCCTTGCTGTCTCAGAGCAACTCCACACTGTTAGAGCCGCCTCTCTCTCCTCTGTCCTCATCCTTCTGGACCTCTCTGCTGCTTTTGACACAGTCAACCACCAGATCCTTATTTCCTCCCTTCAGGAACTTGGTGTCTCGGGCTCTGCTCTCTTCCTTCACTCGTCCTACCTCAACGGCCGCCCCTAGTGGGTAACCTGGCGAGGATCTGTGTCAGAAGCTTGTCCTCTTACTACTGGAGTTCCGTCCTGGGTCCCTTCCTCTTCTCGCTCTACACCAACTCTCTCAACTAATTCTCTCCTTCCCTCACTCGGACACCCAGGTGGCGGCACGGATCTCTGCCTGTCTGACTGACATCTCTCAGTGGATGTCTGCTCATCATCTGAAAATCAACCCCAACAAGACTGAACCACTTCTCTTTCCGGGAAAAGATTCTCCGACCCAGGACTTTTCGCAACTCCGTGCTAATGCCCAAGCCCGGATAAACCATATGGGCAACTGTGTCCGTGAGCTGTGACCCTCTCCTCAATGAGTCAATCGGACTGACCAATGAGGAATGACGTGGGACACCAGTCAACGTGCACTGAGCAGGTCACGTGATGTCAAGTGCCTGTAGCAACTCAAAAAATGCGAACATGGAGAAGCTAAGTGGGAGCGCTAAACGGAAATTAAAAAAGGACATCACAAATAAAATTTATAGTATAAAAAGTATACCGAAAATAGGTAATTTCTTCACTCCAGTAAATGCTACCAACTGTTGCTCGTCAACGACGACAGCTCAGCTATCCAGGACATTTTTTCACTGCCGAGCACGCCGCTGGCTAATGTCCACAGCCCGGAGAGTCAAGAGCCCGCGGCATCTTCAACCGACCGCCCGGATTCTGCTACGAGTGAGACCATTGAGGGAAGCAGTGATGGACCTCGAGTCTCACCGCCATCTGAGCCGCTCGTCGAGTCTGCGAGTTGCCCCTGTGCCTCAACGCCTCTACTACTCCCTGGGGATCCTGCACTATGGGGACCGGTTACGGAGCACCTTCGGGATGAGGCGATATATCAGGGGCATGCAGCTGTCCTGAACCGGGCTGCGAAGTATCCGACATCGGTAAGGGAGTCCAGACTCGGGCATGCTCCCTCACCAACGACGTGCTTAGTTGCCGTCTCCCAAACAATCAAATTGTGCCAGGGAATGGCTTCTTTACTCGCCATCAACTGAATCAGTTATTGCTATGCCTGCAAACTCCGAAAAGCATGCATTTATCAGCGGATTCTGTGATTGAAAACATCCAGAGAGGATTAGTGATCATGAAAAGAGTGCAGAACACAGGCAAAACATGCTTTCTTTATTGCACAGGTCTAAATACGCATGCAGAGTTGACACTTTTCTTGCCCGATAATGTGAGAGGCAGAACTGCAGTACTGGAAAGAAGTCCTTAGACTATTCAATTTTTGGGAGCGAGAGGACTGCCAACTCGAGGCGATAACGAACTGCTGGGCTCCGCGCACAATGGGAACTATTTGGAACTGCTTGAACTGATTGCGGAGTTTGACCCCTTTTTTAAAGGAGCACCTTGAGAAGCATGGCAACAAGGGAAGAGTTAAGCCATCTTACATGTCCTCAACTGTGTGTGAAGAATTTATTTCATTAATGGGTGACAAAACTAAGCAAGTAATAGAGGAAATCAGACACGCTAAATATTTCTCTGTAATCATTGATTCAACGCCAGATTTAGCACACGTAGATCAGCTCACATTTGTTTTTCGTTTTGTCAGTGCAGATGGCAGAGTAGTGGAAAGTTTCATTGGGTTTGAGCCCTTTCATAGCCACACAGGTGCAAGCCTAGCTGAATCTGTGATTGAAATGGTGCGAGGCTTGGGGTTAGACTTGTCAAACTGTCGTGGTCAAAGTTTTGATAATGCTAGCAATACGTCTGGCAAATACAGCGGGCTCCAGGCGCACTTGAAAAAACGAAACCCACTAATTCAATATACACCGTGTGCTGCCCATTCGCTGAACCTCATGGGTGTTAACTGCGTTGATAATTGCTGTGTGGAGGTTAACTCCTTTTTTGAACTGTACAGTCCCTGTATACATTTTGCAGCGCATCGACACATCGCTGGGATACAGTTTTCCATAACAACGAACATTACATTAGATACACTCTAAAATCCCTCAGCAGCACTCGATGGGGTTGCAGAGCAGACTCCACAAAAGCTCTCAATGAAAATTACAGGGCAGTCAGAGATATATTAGCCAAAATAGCTTCGTACTGTGATGAGAAAACACAAACCAAACTGAAAAGCTGCTGCATTGGTCACAAAACTTGATAAACTTGATACCGTAATAATGACTATATTGTGGGACCGGGTACTGCATAGATTTAAGGCAACAAGTGACGAACTCCAAAGCAGCGATATAGATTTAGCTACTGCTCTTGGCCTTTTGCGGTCACTGCATTCATATGTTGGCACTCTACGAGAACAGTTTGCAGAGCTCGAAGAATCCGCATGCACTGTTAGTGCCACACAAAACTAACAGTTTGACACTCGACGTGTGAGAAAAAGAAAGAAATTTGCAGACGAGTCTGGTGATGACAGAGAAGTAGCTTTTACTGATAGTAGTCAGAGATTTAAGGTTGAAACATATTATGTCATCATTGAAAGACTTCGACTCTTTTGCCTATCCAAGTGCATCGAAGCCTACACAGATGTGTGTGACCTCTTTTTATTTTATTTGAGAGGGACTGCAATGATTGTGATGTGCGTGAAAGAGCTGCTAAGCTGTGCTCCACTTATCCGACAGATCTGGATAGTTCCTTCTCAGACAAACTTATTCAGGTCAAGCACTTTGTGCAGAATGAGACTTCACCTGTACAGCTTCTGCAAGCTCTTGAGAGACATGGACTTAAGACAACATTTCCAAATATTTATGTTGCACTAAGAATGTTTTTAACCTTGCCTGTGTCTAACTGTGAGGGTGAGAGGTCGTTTTCTGTTTTGAAACGAGTTTAAAATGAGCTGATGACCACAATGTCACAGACACGGCTCTCTGCGCTTTCTCTCTTGGCCATCGAACATGAACTTGTTACTGCCCTTGATTTTGAAGACATTGTACACCAGTTTGCACATTCATAGTCCAGAAAAACGCCACTCTAAGATGTGTTTTCCAAATTTCAATTTTGCCAGATTATACTGATGAGTTTTGTTTTCATAAAATCATGTGTGAGTGAGTGGCCTTGAGGTGCATTTGTTTTTCTATGAGCGAAGTGCTAATCTGGTCCTGCTAACGCCCACTTTGACTGCTAGGAACCTCGGCATCACATTCGACAGCCAACTTTCCCTGACTCCCAACATCACTGCGACAACGCGATCCTGTACACTGTAACAAATGGCTGTAAATTTACGGTGCATTTCTAACGGTATCTCACAGTATGTCTTAATAACTGTATCATACAGTTAAATTTCCATCCCTTGCTTGTAAATTAACGGCCAATGTCATGAATAAACAGTTAAACCTGTCAATTTACAATAATAGCAGACTACCGTAATTCAACTGCATGTTACATATATTTTATGAAGTGGTGTAAATACACATACAAGATTGTGAATCACAATCAATCTACATCTGTTATAGGTTAATGTATGGAAGCCCATTTCAGCCACTGAAAAACAGGTCCTGTAAGTCATCATAATGAGATAGTATCTCATGAGATACGATGATGACTTTGACTTACAGTCATTAGTATACATGCAGCTGTCACTTTTATCCAAAACGCCCATTGTTTGACATAATTTATGTGGAGTAATTGGGGGTTAGGTGTCTTGCTCAGTGACACTTCAACTTGGCACAGGTAGCAGCCAAGATTTGAACCGCCGACCTTGCTGCACAGCACACTCTCCCTATCCCAATGCGTCGCCTTTGCTGTCATTTCAGTAGCCGATGTAGAAAGATTATAAATATTTGTATTATTCAAAGTGTTTATTGCCTAAAAGAGATTTGAGTGTTAATCGTGACCGACTGCTCCTGAACGTGACATCAGACACCGGTCAGTGCAGTTCAACATCGGAGGAGCTTTTCATTGCCTCGTCTCTCCAAGTAACGTTGGTAAGTGTTATTTGCCTAGCATGATTAACATTCTCCTTCCTTACATCTTGTTGTCTTCCTCAATTTTGTAATTTTAATATTTTACCAATGACAGTGTTTCTAAATATTTTATTTTGGTTTGTTTTACAGAGGCACTGGATTAAGGACGCCAGCCGTTTGCTGCGGTCAATTGAAAGTGTTCCAAAGCGTATTGTTGGTTTACCTTGTTCCTAATGATTTCATGATTCATTTTTTTATTATTGTATACATGCGGCATATTTTATGTTTTGTTCTTGGTTACAAATGTCTAATATTTTTGTCTTAAAGGCATCTAATAAACTCCAACCACTATGACCGAAATGAGTTTGGTTGTCTTTCGTTAATTTGTGGGGAATTAAATGCAAATGTATACGGTTATAAGTAAACGGTAACATTCTTGTGATTGTAACACAAAAACAGTAATCGTATGGTAACAAACTGAAATCTAATATACGACAACATACCGTAAAATATGGTAGGTCACTGTAAATAAAACAGTACGTTACTAGCGTCAACTGCCAGTAAATTGCAGTTAATTCACAGTAAAATTAGTTCATGGTAAAAGGTAAAAGTTTACGGTAACAAACAGCAATCAAATTCACGGTAACATAGTGAAAATACCATTCACGGTATTATACCGTAAAATAACGGTAAATTCTTGACGTCCTTGCTGCCTGTAAAATCCTGTTAATTTACGGTGAAATTTTTTAGAGCGTAGATACACCCTTCGTCTCCTTCTCGCTCAGAAGGCAGCGCAGGTACTGATTCAGGCTCTTGTCATCTCCCGCCTGGACTACTGCAACTCCCTCCTGCAGGTCTCCCCGCTACCGCCATTCAACCTTTGCAGCTCATCCAGAATGCAGCAGCTCGACTGGTCTTCAACCATCCGAAATTCTCCCACACTACTCCACTCCTCCGCTCTCTTCACTGGCTATTGGTAGCTGCCCGCATCCAGTTCAAAACACTGGTGCTCACGTACCATGGTGTGAATGGATCGGGTCCAGCTTACATCCAGGGTGGTCAAACCCTACATCCCAACCCGCACTCTCCGCTCTGCATCTGCAAAACTTCTTGTCCCTCCCTCACTGAGAGCAAAACACTCGACTAGATCACAACTCTTTGCTGTCCTTGCTCCGAAATGGTGGAACGGGCTCTCTGAAGACACCAGGACCGCAGAGAGCCTTCACATCTTCCGCCACAAAATAAAGACAAACCTCTTCAGACTCTTCCTCGACTAAAAGACTAACAAATTGTAGCATTTAAATTGTACTTATAACGCCACTCATCTATAGCAAATTGTAAATTGGCTTATTTGAGAAAATTGCACTTTCGTGTTTCTTGCTCTTAGTTTGTACCCCTATGACTGAATGCACTTATTGTAAGTCGCGTTGGATCAAAGCTACATTATATTATTGTGAATATTCTGTTTAACTCCACTGAATGTTGTTTAAATACAGTTTTGAAGTTGTAAGATATCTGCATGTTATAATGTATAAAATATTTATTTGAATGCGAGAAATAAATATGACTTTTGCAACAAGGAACAGTCATTTGAAACGATGCATATTTTTAAGTAAAATTTACTAGGAACTAGTGACATTTCCTTCTAACTCAAAAAAGAGTTGAAATAAGTAGTTAGACCAAGTGAATAGAATGCATGATAATAAGTTGTTTCTTTTAAACTAACGTTGCTAAGTTGGATAAACATGTACTATACAGTCATGTGAACTTACGGAGAGCAATCGATGGCTAAATTAAACAAAAAATGATTTGTACCAAATTGTAAATCCAATTTGACTACTCGAAAGTGTAAGGCAGCAATTGAACATTTGTTTTTAAGTTGAACACCCATGATTTATTTTACAGTGTATTCAAGCCCCAGAGCTTTTGGAGTGCAGAAAAAAAACTCTGAAATATGATTTGATTGCAGTTCCCACTCAAAATGTAATGCAATACCAGCCTTGTGTAACCATATCTTCACTTATTATAACTTTTAAGTAACTTAAGCTTATGTAGATATATGACTTGTTTTTGGTAATCTAATAAAATAGATCAATTTGCACCTGTTAACAGCCTACATTTCAACCGGATTCTACCAGCAGCCCCCCCTTCATGTCTATGCCCCCCTCCCTGTTTGGAGATGCCTGATGTCCGTGTGGCTCACCCAGGGGGATGATCATCTGCTTCTTGTGCCAGCGGCCGATGATGCTGCCGTACACCAGCAGGTCGTTGAACAGGAAGAACCTTCTGGGCTGTGGCCCCTTGCGGGTCATCTTCACCAGCCGACCCTCTCCCAGCAGAAACCGACCCGGTTCGTACAGCGGCTTCCCCGACGGCCCGAACGAGTTCTCCACGGCGCGGATCCGCTCGCGGTTGTTCTGCGTAGACAAGAACAATTTCTCATCCGTATCCATTTTTGTTCAGGTGACAAGTCAGCACGAGCCGTTCGTTAGTGCGTTGTTGTTGTTGTTGTTGTTTTTGTTGTTGCGCATAAAGTCCCGCTGCTGAGACGCTGTCCTGGGATCGTGCAGTCTGCGGCGCACGGGCGCTTCTTTTATGTGCTGGTGACGTGGGAGTCGCCCAAGGGAGTTGGAGCTTTAGACAAACCCATGTGAGCAGAGAAGGCGTCACCAATCTATTTCCCTCCCAGGAAAGTTATTTATGGAAATATCCACCTCAGGTTTTCAACCATCACCGACTTTTATTTAAAATTCACTTTAAATGAGTTTCAGACAATAGTTGCATTATAAATATTCATATTATATTGAATAATAATAACCGTCTGGTGGACACAACATAAGGTATATCATTATATTGTTAAGCGGCAACCAAAACAGAAAAGTCAATAAAATGTCATAGGATAGAATAAGTATGTCATGAAACAGCGTGCTCTTGCACAGGTTTACACTATTTACTGTAAGAGAGTTGATCTTGGCTCTGCAAAGAGTGTGTCCTGACATGTGCACTAATGTGACGCATTAGTTATGGGACATTAAATTAGGCGTGTTTGTGTGTGTGTGTGTCGGCATTTCCTAAAGAACCCACACACAGTTGGCTTTAAATACAGGAAGTAGTTTCTGGACACTCTGAACCAGGTCAGTGGTGCCAATATCTAGTTGGACAGAAAACAAAAACAAACAAGGCCTTCTGGGACGCAGCCAAGAATGTGCAAGAGGCAAACGTGCAGTCAGTAGGTTGTGCTTAACCAGCAGCAGGTGGATAACATCAGAAGAATGTAGACCAACGGCCATTTACGGCCTACAAAAGAGTGCAGTACATGGTGACATCTAGTTCACTCTGTCCTTTCTGTACAGCTTAAGTACCAAATAATAATGCAAGAAACAAAAACATGAGGAAAAAACAACAACAATAAATACAACAGGAAGCGGGACTAGAGTAGCCTGCTGTGTGGTTAACGTGTCCACTCCGTAACACCCCTGTACAACAGAGTGAGACGTCCCCTCCTGAGGTGATCGGTGGTGTCAACAGAACAGAACAATGTTTCTCCAGATGTGGATTTAGAGGGCAGGAGATGATCTGCATGGATCTGCCACACATTGGTCACATGTGGCGACGCCTCACAGGTCGATGGTTCCTCTCGCTTTGAACTTCTTGGCCGAGCGCTCGCTGGCTCGGTGCTCGAACTTGCTGGCGTAGATGTGCGAGACGAAGCCGTTGATCTCCACCGCGAACATGCTGTTCCTCTTCGGGATCACTGAACAGAGAGCACGGTGTCAAAGCGCAGAATATCGTTGGGAAAAAAATTGACACAGCAATTCAAAGTAGTATTTTACTAAAGTTGAATGAACTTTTCCACCAGTGTTTTTAAAAAGGCTCTTTATACAATATTCAGAGAATTAATATAGTGGCAAACAACCATTTTTCTATGTGAAATGTATAGTGGAGTCAAAGTCTACCTGAGGCCATTGTGAAAAGTGCTCGTAACAGTGAATAAAAACGTGCAGGTCTGTGTTTTGCCAGTCAGATAAGGCCATCTCTGCCCTCAGATGATGCCACCTCCCCTCTGTACAGCTTTGATGCTCGTCGTACCACCGTGTGAAGGTCATGGCCAGGTGACAGTCTCGGACTGTTTAGACAAAGTGTACACGGCGAACACGGCGCACACGGCGTCTTACCTTTCAGCTTGTCTTCTTTGGTGATGATTTTGAAGATGTGCTTGAACTCTTGGACGAGAATCCCTGTGGCGCCGACGTACGATGGGCATTTAGAGCGGACCACTACGAGAGAGAGAGATAAGAAACGCATCTGGTACTTTGATCCATCAACATGATGGCAGCAGCGCCTTACTCAAATGGTTAATAACGTGATAGAATGATGTATGCGAGAGAAGAAAAAAGATAATTACACTGTACTGGTGATCGGAAACATCAAGCTTTGTGCCGATCTACTTGTTTTCACTCGCAAAGCGGTTCCAGTACTTGAATTTCAATGTCTACTAATGCAGAATTTTCAATGAAGTGGTAGTAAGTGACATTTGGAAGGATGTGGGCTTTACACACATTACAAACTACAATATCTGCCCACTGTTGTTTTTACAAGCACCTCCATATGTACCTGTGAGGATGGCACCGTGGAAAAAAGCTTTAGTTCAGGCTTGTTGATGCTCCATTAAATGGGCCTGTTGTTTTAATTGCTGCTTTTTAAATTAAAAATATATTAATTTGACTATTGTTGCATTGTCATTGACTCACCTCCACACCGAGAACCTTCACCAGGTCCCGAGGGATCCCGACTCAAATGAGCGAGTCCGTTGAACAGGTCAAACAAAACCAGTTACACACTGGACCACAAAGCACCAGGGGTTGTTGGCTCTCTGCCATCAGATCATACTTTCTGCAGCAAAGCTCCTTAGGAAAAGCCATTGGTGTGTGAGGACCCTGATGATGAAGAAACAGAATCAAAGAGGGAAACCTGTCATCCGATCCCTGTTGATTTCATCAGTCTGGAGAATCTCAGACTGCGACTAAAGAACTTCACCAAAGTTGTCACCAAGATTTGGGCAGGATCTTTATCTGTGTCCGAGTTGTCTGAGTTTGATATATCTTTAAACACTTGGAAGTCTAAATGTGAGGGATGGTCATCAAATTCTATTTGGATTAGTTGTTTTTAAGGCAGGGACTTCCCTCTGGCACCGGCAAAAAACAACACCAAGTATCCAACAACGTGTACACAGTCCAACTCTCGGTACATGTTGTTCAATCTCTAATTGGTTTAGCCTCAAGGGAAAACATTCCAAGGTGTGTGTGTGTGTGTGTGTGTTGACACACATACACTACACAGACCTGTCTGACGTGTTACTAATATTACATTCTGTGCAGTCAGACTGAGAAAGTACAGACTGACACACTGACCGATGACACACTGACCGATGACCCAGAACAAATCTGGTGAATGGTGGCTTATGCATCACGGTCACTATCTCCAGCTACGCACAAGTTGAAAAGGACACTTTTCAAGCACTCAGCGCTTCAGAATTAGGCTCATGCACTACTCATAAACAATCATACGTGTGCCAGGGAAGTCACTCTGGACAGCAGACACACTGTCACACTCGCCTGTGAAAGGGAGCATGTCCTCAGATGAAAACGAACATATATGTGGACTGTATCATTAAAAATCTGCCTGCCAGTCCCTGATACATAGAAAATCTGCAAAGCAGCTCAAAGCTGACAGTGTCTGCTCACGGGTCATGATGCTGTGCTGAGAAGGATGGCCAGCGCATGTCAAACAGGAATCAGTGCTGAAAAACTACTGGCTGAGCCATACTCACAGTGGCACCCTGACTGACCATGGCAAAGGTTGGGGGCGGACCTCTTTGAACCGTCAGGTAAGACGTCCTTGTCGTTGACTACTTCTCGAGATATATTGAGATTGCACTCTTATCTCACACCAGGTCCACCGACATCATCACTCATCTAAAGTCGCTCGCCATGGCATCCGGGAGGTAATGTCAGATAACAGACCTCAGTTTTATGGACAGGCCTTCGCCTTGTTTGCAGCTGCATACGGATTCAGACATGTCACCAGCAGCTTGAGGGTCCCGCAAAGTAACTGCGAAGATGAATTGTTTGAAATGCTACATAAGAATAAGCATTTCTTGATATTTAGTGGTCTGTCTGAATGAATTGTTTCTAAATGTATTTGAATAATTACACAATTTACCTTATATTATCATTTATAGACTATATGTCCTATATAGTGTATCCCAAAGCATCCAACTATTTAAATGTAAACCACCCCACCTCTCCTCTGCAATAAAAAACATGTTAATGTAACCAAAGGGTGGTTCCTCAGTGAGGTGGGGTGCGTGCGCCACAAGAGACAACTGAAATGAATTTACAACACAATTTATTCCACTCTGGATCACAAACTACAGTTAAAAAACAGTCATCCTCAAAATAAAAACAATGTCTTAAATGATCAAATCTAAAAGTGTGGTCCCAGAGATTTCACAGAGCCGTAAAAACCCGGGGGGCAGTGGGCCTGGGCGTAGCATGTTGCGGTGTAGTACACATTCTCTCCCAGTACCGTGTTCCTGACTATATATACTGGGTTCTGGGTTGAGGCTTCTTTGGCAGAGTAATCCTAAACTTCTTTTTGGTGTGCAACTGCTTGTCCTCCTTGTTCCCAGGCTTCTTTTGAGGGGGGTAAGCAAAGCATTACATCCTGGGGAAGTCGGCCATGTCTGGCAAACATAAGATAAAAAGGGGTGGAACCAGTGGAGCAATGCAAAGGCATCTTCATACACAAAGACCAGGTCTCCCACGTGGTCCGGCCAACTCTTTCTTGCCCTCTTCTAGAGTACCCAAGAAGGTCAATTAAAGTTAAATTTAACCTTTCGCACGTGCCGTTTCCTGCTGGATGGTACAGGGTTGTTTGGCTTTGGACTGTCCCATACAGTTTACACAGTTCCTGGATTACTGCCTTAAAGCAGGCCCCCTGGTCTGAGTGAAGACGCTGTGGTGCTCCAAAAGGTTGAAACACATGTTGCTAGAGTACCTTAGCTGTGGTCGTTGCTTTCTGGTCCAGAGTGGGGATGGCCCAAGCAAACTCCGTAAAATTGTCAGTGATTACCAGTATGCTTTGGAAGCCACCAATGTAGCAATCCATCTTTAAATAGTCCATCATTACCAGCTCCAGAGGCATAGAAGTGCGCACTGACACCAGAGGGCTAATTCTCTGTGGGGCGCCCTTGTTGAGGATACATCGTGGGCAGGCTTTATTCCAGTCCTCTACATCATGGGTCACCGTAGGATGGAGAATGTCTGTTCTATACCAAAGTGGCCTGCTAGTTTGTGGTAACACTTACATGTCGGTTCTCTGCATAAGACACAGCAATCTGGCAATGTTTGCCTTTTCGAAACACTGCCATTCAAAATGACAGAGCTAATTGGCCAACATATGTGCCACCTGGCCAAACACCTCAATGGTTAATTGTTAACACTTCAATCAGGATGTAAGCACTATGAAAAGACTACAGGTGAGCAACTTTTTTTACAACAACAATGGAAGACGTTGCAGAGAGCGGAAGAGGAAGGGTGAGAATGACAGGGGGAGGTAGGGGTAGAGCAGGTAGAGGAGTTCATGGCCAAAGAAGACAACAACTTTCAAATTAAATCAGAGCAACCTTAGTAGATCATGTCATCAACCATGGGCTGACAATGTAAGAGGCTGGACAGAGAATGCAGCCAAACTTGAGCCGTTTTACTGTCGCCTCTGTCATCCGGACATTTAGAGTGGAGAACACGTATGTAACCAAAATTTCATGTAGTACACATGTAGTACACCCCGTTTCATAGTGTCAGTTGGGTGACACCTCTTTACTTAGTGTATGACATCAGCCATTCATGAACTGTACAAGTTTTCCTCCTCTCCATCGGAGCTTCTCCTCTCTGTGTGGTGCTCGTTCCAGTGACACACCTGCTGGGCCTCCTCTGTCGTCCTGGTCGAGGAGTTTGTGTGACACCCGGTGCAGATCCTCAAGCACTTAGTCGGGTGGATGTGTTGGATCACCACTCGGGTCTTGGAGCACGCAGCGCAGACCACAAAGCCGCATTGCCGGCAGTGGCGTCGTCGCTGGGTCATGGAGAACCTGCCGAAGCAGCGCATGCAGACCGAGGAGGCGTAGTCGGGGATACAGGTTTTGGCAAAGTGGCAGCTGGTCCGGAAGCCCCTGTTCAGCAGCAGAATGGACCGGCAGTCCTCGATATGCTGGATCCAGGCCCGCTTCTCCTCCTGGGAGGCGGCTGCCACGTAGAAGGACTTGCGTGGCGTACGGATCAGCCACTGGTTCTTTATTGATAATCCGTTCTCTAGGTCCTCAAGCTGGCTGTCCTCTGAAAATAAAAAATAACAGTCCAACAGTGTTAATTTTGGCAGCTATTTTTGATTTAGTCTTAGTAGACGAAAAAACGGCATATTAGTTTTAGTCACATTGTTTTAGTTTTAGTTTAGTTTTCGTCAACGAAAACTCAGAACATTTTAGTCAAGTTTTAGTTGACGAAAACTAGACTAAAATGTTATTAGTTTTAGTCTAGTTTTAGTCACATTTAATAGCCATATTAAACTCTGTTTCTTCCCTTCTCAGGCCCAGGGACCCCCTGTGTTGTGTCTACAACTGCATAATAGTCCAGCTTGCAGTACTTGGTTGTCCATCAGATGTCCCTCCTAGGACAGGTCTATAGCAGGTCTGCAAACTTGTGGCCACAATGGGTTGTATAATGTGACGGAGGAGCCGGGCCACGAACAAATGGTTGAAGTGTTTGTCTGAGCTGATATAAATGACATGTGAAAAATCATTACATGAACGGATTTGGACTTTAACAAATAGGAAAGCATTTATTTGCAAGGCAATTTAACAAATTGGCAAAGGTGTAACAACTTCATGAGGACCAGGGATCTAAACGCAACACTGTTGTCTTTGTCTGTTTACTTGCAATGCTTTTGACATGGACACCCGAAACTTCATGGTCCTTTATTGTTTCCACTGTTCCAACAAAAGAGACCCCTTCACGTCCTACAATCGGTGCAATCGATTATTTTCTTGGCTTCAGAACCTGCAATGACTTTATTACGTTAGACGCGTTTGTGATGGACCGTCTCATCCAGCCGAGCAAACGCTGCCTGCCGTCGCCAGAGAACAGGGCAGAAAGGTCCGACAGTCAGTTAAACGGGTCTTCATGTTTCTGTGAAGCAGCGCGGCTTCAGCCTGCTAACAGTCAGCTAAACCGAGACAGCTGAGCTAAACTAAGGCGGCCACATTCAAACTCGCCGAAGCGTAAAATAGTCGTTGCGGCCCGTAGTCGGTGCACAAGAACCACCACTGCACCGCTGCGCGCGTTCTGGGTTCGTGGATGACGTCATCATGACGCGTTAATATCTGCAATACTTTGCCTGTCTGTTGTCTGTTAGCTGCGTGCGAATTTAGGGGGAAAAAGTATCGTGACTTCGTCAACCACCAACATGTTCGTCTCGTCTCGTTAACGAAAGTTAGAATAGATTTAGTCATAGTTTTTATTTTTTAACATCGTTTTCGTCACGTCTTAGTCTCGTTTTAGTCATGGAAAAAAAGGTCGTTTTTCGTCATAGTTTTCGTCGACGAAATTAACACTGCAGTCCAATTAAAATGGATTTCAGAGGAAAGTCACTTTTAGAAACCCTCGGCTGGTTTTGTCATTCAAGCCCTATGGTTTGGTTTATAATGTTTTAAGTAACTCAAGCTTACTCAGATAAATTACTTTTTTTTTTTTGGTGATCCAATAGAATACATTGCCAATACATAACCCTAACCCTAACCCTAACCGTCTACACTGCAAAAAACTCTCCAAACTCGAAATCAGGTTTTTAAGCCGGTTCAACAAGGTGTCAAGTTTAATGAATTGAATACTGTGACTTTTAATTACGGTTATGTCCAACAGTCAAAATGAAGTTCCAATAACTGCAGTTCCTCAAACGGCCACTTTTAAAAGCGCTTCAATTTCCATTGGACCCCCATGGAAAATTGTATGTTCAGCAGGATCACAAACGTACGGTGGCCCTAAAGTGCAAATCACGACGGCAAATAGGAAAACACAACGACAAATCATAAAGGGTAGGGCCTATCTAGCAAAGGACGGACCCTTCTGACGGACTGACTGTCTTTTAACCTTCTTAATCCGAAGCCTTTCGCCGGACACTGAAAGTGACATCGAGCAAATTACCATAACTCCTTAACTATTTGTGCAATCAACGTAATTCTGGATTTTGAAAGCTGAGAAATGCTGCTTTCTAGACATTACGGTAATCAAGAAATCAGTGGCGGGAGAGCCTGTGAGGGAGGGGTTGAAGTCAGCGCAGCAGCCGAAAGTGACAGGAGAGATGGTGATGTCTTACTAGTGTCTTAATTCTTGTTTTTCAGGTGTTTTGTTGTTCAATTACATTTAGGTGTTGTAAGTAAAAGTATGGGCGGCACGTGGTGTGGTGGTTAGCGCTGTCGCCTCACAGCAAGAAGGTACTGGGCTCAACTCCGCCCAGTGGCCTTTGTGTGTGGAGTCCCTGTGTCTGCGTGGGTTCTCTCGGGGTTCTCCGGCTTCCTCTCACAGTCCAACAGACGTCCTCTGGGGATCAGGCACATTGGTGACTCTAAATTGCCCATAGGTGTGTGAATGTGAGTGTGAATGGTTTCTTGTCTCTGTGTTAGTCCTGCGATTGGCTGACAACCAATCCAGGGTGTCTCTCGTCCGAAGTTGGCTGGGATGGACTACAGCCCCCCCCACTCCCCCCCCACTTCCCCCCGGACCGTTCGAGAAGGTTCGACGGGGGGGTGGCGGAACGATCGACGAGGGGGGGGGGGTAGTAGTCGTGCACTCACAGGTCGGCGATACTGCTATGCACGGTAAAAGGACAAGAAAAACAGCTGGTGGGGAATATGTCAGAGGGACGAGAGCACATAATTAGGAGAAAATCCGGTCAATTTTCAAAATAAAGCATTAGTTTACCACTCCCCTGGAAAAAAAGGGCAGCTCTTTTTCTTATTGATGAAGGATGAAGCGATATCAGATAGATTTACAATATGTACATGTTTGTACAGTCTTGCGATGCAGAGAACATCTGGAAAGCCGCTGCATGGCGTGTTCTTCGTAAAGTTGTTTATTTGTTGCTTAATAAACTTTTGGATGTTTCATGTGGGGCTCTCTGCTTCAATGGATTGAATTTCTGATTTTGAATAATAGATATTGGATTCGCCCATACACAGATTCACACACACTTAATACAACAAGTTCTATGTGGTCATCTACACATACTGTACATATATACACATACATATGATACATAAGTGATTCAGTACATACATCCTCATAAATATTCATTCATACCAATTAGACTCTTTATGCTTGTTTTTAACTTATTCTGAAAGAGTTAAGATGATTATTTTTGCCAGCAAGATCTCATTGGATGATGATGAATTCCATAAAGCCTTCAGCCGGCAGTCACATTTAAAGAACTATAATCTGATTCATGTGAGAGTGATAAGGCACCTAAAATGAGCCTATACATTTTCCCAACACTTGCGCATAACTTGTGTGCGATACTTTGTCGGGCTTGTAGACTCGCAGGGGGGGGTCTGTTTTTGCCATGATTATTTAATTCAATTAATTTTATTTTCTGTAGCACAAAATCGCAAATTTGCCTGAGAGGGCTTTACAGTCTGTACACATGTGACATCCTCTGTCCAGAAACCCTCACATCGGCACAGGAAAAACTCCCTAAAAAAACGCATTTGAGAATAAAGGGAAGAAATCTTTATGACTAAAATGACTAAATACAATGACTAAAGTCTGATTTATGCTTGCGACGCAGACGCAAGCCCCCCCTTGCGTGTCCCTTGCGTCGCTTTTCACACCTCCTTGCGTCCTTGCAAACGCCGGTTAGCCGGTTGAGAGGTGCACAAAGTTGTGGAGGAAAATACGGGACAAATGTGTCTGCGATGAAAAGCAGCAGTGGCGATGCACGGGGCAATAAAGTCTATGATAAATAAATAAATAAATAAATAGACCTGACTCTCTAGGTTGTCTTCAACAAAAACACGTTAATCCGCCTGTTATTGTGGCAGTAAATTGCTCTGCAACACACGCAAGACTTTTAGAGGCATGAATTGAAACGAGTGCATCGACGCAACGACGCAAACGCAGAAGCATGCGCCGGCCTTAAGGAGTCCAGCTTGGTCCGCTCCACATGCCGTATCTGGTTGGCGAGTGTCCGCTGTGCCTTGTGCACGTTGCCCGGCGGAGGCATGTAAACAATGCTGTTTGCATGCACGTAAGGGGACTATTTTTCCTCTAGACTACTGAAATGAGATACACAACGTTTGGTGGGCACAACTATTTGTACTGAAAGGCAGCTATTTACATTACATTACATGTCATTTGGCTGACACTTTTATCCAAAGCAACTTACAATAAGTGCATTAAACCATAGGGATACAAACTCAGAAGAGCAAGAAACAAAAAAGTGCAATTTCGTCAAATAAGCCAAATTACAATTTGCTATGGATAAGTAGCATTATAAGTACAATTTAAGTGCTACAATTTGTTAGTCTTTTAGTCAAGGTAGAGTCTGAAGAGGTGTGTCTTTAGTTTGCGGCGGAAGATGTGAAGGCTCTCTGTGGTCCTGGTGTCTTCAGAGAGCTCGTTCAACCATTTTGGAGCAAGGACAGCAAAGAGTCGAGATCTAGTCGAGTGTTTTGCTCTCAGTGAGGGAGGGACGAGCAGTTTTGCAGATGCAGAGCGGAGAGTGCACGTTGGGATGTAGGATTTGACCATGTTCTGGATGTAAGCTGGAACCCGATCCAGTTTCAGAGGACATTTAGAAAAATATAATTCAATCAAGCCAACGTTAATGTAATGGGGCTATGGTCAGTTCATGGACTACTTGTGTTGTGGCTAAAATGTCTGCAGCTAACGCTAGTTAGGGACCTAACGTTGGCTATTGTTAAGTAACGTGGTGCACATTGCCTACCTTAACCGATGTGGAGGGAATTAAGTTTGCCCCTCGCATGCTCGTGAAGTTTAGTTGGGCTAACAGAATGCCCAACGGGGTGGGTGAGGGGGCCTAGTTGTTTCGGGTGGACACGCGGGTCCTTTCTCAATATGCGTTCTCATGTGGACTTGTGTTCTCGTGAAACGTCATCAGTCGCAGCCCAAGTACTGTTCCAATTCTAAAGTCCGCATCTGGCCAAGAACGGTCAGAATACCCAGATGTGACTCGCCCCGACCATTTTAGCGGGCATGAATCGTGACAGCCAAATATCCCAGAATGCATTTCAACTCAGCAACAGGCAACAGCGACAGAGGACAAT